CCCCCCCCCCCCCCCCCCGCGAGCTAGCCATCTTTCATGCTGCTGTAGGCTTTTGTGCACACGTCCATGGAGGACAAATACAGCCTATTATGCGCAGTATGCAGAGTCTGAGATATTACACTTCACCTACAACTTCAAGGCAACGCACAGCATGAGGTTACTGTGCACGTCCTTTCCTGATTGAAATCAGAAATGCACATATGTGCCAAATACGATCCGTGATCACATCCCCTAAGCAGCTCGGGCCTAGCGAAGGGCGACCTGAGGTTGATAAACAGATGACCTCACCTCACCTCGTGACGACATATCTGGGCCTCTTTCCCACCCCCCATTATCCGTTAGCACGCACGGTCTGCACTCCCTTTCCCTGTGTGCGACTTTTAGACGCCTTTCTTGACGTAACTTTTGTCATAGTTAAGCAGCCTCATATGGGTCAAAAGCAACCTGCGGCTTACGGCCACCTAACGAGGGTTCAGAATTTTGCACTCCCCTTGGCTGTCTGCCTCTTGGACAACTTACTTGATGTGACCCTCGTCACTGACGAGAAGCCCCTGCTAATAACACCGGCGGCGGCGCCAACGCCATCGCCGACAAACCCGGCGACGTCGGTGACGGCTCCACCGACCGCCCCTCCAACGGACCCAAGAACACCGGCTTTGCTGGCGCGCAGCCTCTCTTCTTCCACTTCGCGCGCCTCTGCCGCCATAGCTTCTTCCTGCTCCTCCTCCGTATACTTATGCCACGTAAGCTTAACAGTGATGGTGCCTCTGTCTTTCTTCTCTGTATATTTGTTCAGCGAGGGCAAAAGGTTTACTGTCACCTCTACGGGTTTATCGTGCTCCAGGTTGCCGAGCCCAATGGCCGCCACACCGAGCGCTTCCACCCTACCTCCCACACTCATGTCCATCACCTGCAAAGAATGACAATCGAAAGTAAAACATTAGTACATAGACGCCAAGTCCGACAACATCACACACACAAAAAAACGTCTGCCAACGAACATGGTCGAACCGACGACTGAATACAAAAAGCCCGACGAGTGTACCAGCAGTCTGTCCAGAAGCTTCGGAAAAATAGATTGACAAAAAAAAAACATCAGATACATCTGAAACTGAGAATTAGAACTTCGATGTCCTTCGGGACATCCGTTAAACATGGGACCGCTAAAGAAGTTCAATGTCCTTCGGGAATCGGGAGATCCGTTGAAAATGGGACAAATACAGAGGGTAATGGTAGCATGGGCCCTGTGCTGACAACAAGAAGCCAAATGTGTGCAGCACTGTTCCGGCCATCAGGCTGCACACACTACTGTAGGACGCGACGACACCCAATGATGGTCGCAAAAGACTCTCCCAATCCCCATTCGGACCTCGATCCATGAAATAGTCTTATTATGTGAAGCTGGTCCTGATCGGGGCCCAATCGGGCCCCATACGTTACTCTCCACGTCTCAAACAAGCATCCGATCTATCTTTCGCGGCAGTGATCCAGAGGACTGTTTATTTAAGCTGTGGATTGCCGCCTCGCCCACTCGGCGTTGAGTGTATCGTGAGCGCAAGGTGTAGTCGGAATCGAAGACCAGACGCGGCAAGGAAGGGACGAGGCAGCGTCTTCCACCCTCTTGCATAATAGCAGAGCCATCTAAAGGCCACCCTCGACCTAGGATGCGCTAATATCGCCGCCCTGGTAGATGGTTGGCGACAGATGCGTCTGATAATAAAAAAAAAAGGAGAGAAAATAAAGAAAATAACAAGAGAAAGGTGAAAAACACAAGGAAAAGAAAAGGAGAGTGCAGTTGGTGAGACAAATGAAGAAACGCTTGGACAGCAAGAGAGATGCACACCGAAACAAAAAAACAAAAAATAAGGGCCGGGCTTGGGATGGTCCATAGCAGCTCCCCCTTGCTTAGACGGCTCGTGCCACGAGGATATGCTGTTCCTTTCTCTTCTCTTGTGTTTTCTTAAAAGAACTCACAAGAACAGATTAAAATATATATATGCAAAATGCGCTCTTTTAGTTCATAGTTATGTGACACTATATTACGCCCTGAATTTTTTTGGTGGGGGCCAACCCCTTCAGGTTCGGACCCCAAACACCAGAGAGAGAGAGAGAGAGAGAGAGAGAGAGAGAGAGAGAGAGAGAGAGAGAGAGAGAGAGAGAGAGA